AAGTTAAAAGCGCAACGTGTTTGTTCCCACATTGCTCGCCCAGCGGACAGAAGAGCACACTCAAGGACGAAGTCAGATCCGCACCTTCTTTCGGGCTGGCTCAGCAGATGCCGTCGGGGCCTTGGTTTTGTCGTCTTTCTCCTCCTTGGCTTGCTTGCTAGCCTGAGATGCCGTCGGGGCCTTGGTTTTGCTGCCTTTCTCCTCCTTGCTTTGCTTGCCAGCCTGGGATGCCGTCGGGGCGTTGGTTTTGCTGTCTTTCTCCTCCCTGGCTTGCTTGCCAACCTGGTTCACCAGAGACTTTGCTGACTGCAGCAGGACCGGATGCAGGTCCGCTTCATCGATGTTGCCGATCATGATTTCTGTGAGCTGATGTCGGATCAGCCTCGCTTGCCACTCAATCGACTTGCAGCTGACGTGGGCAAAGGCGAGCAAAGATTCGCAAGAGAGGGCCGCGCATCTCTTCACAAGGACCTTCGAGCCATCCACGAAACCCTTGAAATCCGTGACCCGAGGCATCACGGTCCCGTAAAAGGTGGCCTTGCCGATGAAATCGTCGCACTTGGACAGAGCCTGTCGGTTGCGAGGTCCCCAACCCCAACTCAAAAAACTCTGAACAAAACCCCCTGCACTCCGACACTTCCGGTATCCAAACTGAGAGGCTCAACATTAAATGATTCGACTGACTCGTGCCAGCAGGAGCAGCTAGCAAGCAGCTACCAGTTACCAGTTACCAGCTACCACAGGCACTGCGCAGCTCCATAGCCAAAGCCTGTGACTAGTGACTAGACAACAATGCTGCAAATAAAACCAACCACTTTCATCATGGAACGGAACACTCACTACTAACAACAAACAACTTGTTATGATGTTCCATCAATAGCGAATACGGACATGAGTGTTATTGTACGCCCTGTCCATGTTCGCGACAATGCGGCCACCATGGCAACAGGTCACTAGTCACTAGTTACTAGTTTATGTGTCAACCGGGCCGCACAGTCTAACTTGTCACCCGTGAAGTCGCTATGACGGCACGTCCATGCACTAAAACAAAGTAGTTAGTTACGTACCTAAGTAGTATTAGTAGTTCCGACGACAGGAACCTCGGGCCTGTTTCAGACGGTTGATCGCCTCCTCTGCTTCATCTCCATCAATGGCATCGATGGTGTTTGTTGCACACTCAAGCACTTTGGATATGTCGACGTCATCCGCCAGCTCAGCTTTCCAATACTTTGGCCCGCCGTAGTGGAAATCTTTGACGGCAGCCGTCGCCGCACCTCTTTGACAGCCTGCGTCATGTTCTGCACCGTCACGTCCAAGCAACGCATGAAGTCTTCATCTTGAAG